AAAAGGAGAGGTTAACGCCCAAGTGAACCTCAACCCGGAACTACGTACGGCCTGATTCCCATGTTTAGGATACGTAGGCAACTTCATCCTGAAGTTCGGCCCCAATCATGTTCAGCCTACTTGGCTCATCCATGTTGATTGGTTTACCCTTGTTCAACTCGACTATCTTGTCCATGTGCAAACTGGATTGTCTTCGTTCAAAATCGAACTGTCCTATTCCGTTAGAAGATTCAACTGCAAGATGATTCAAAGTTCAGATCTAAGGTTGTGCATCTCAAAAGTTAAGCTCCATGTTGGTCGAGCAATGGCCATTTGCAAAAACAGTTTTGAGAATTTTTAATGAGGTTGACTAATTTTCTCAAAAATTATTCTATTTTTCCAAAATTGGACCATGTCTTGGACCCAAAAAAGGAAAATTTTCAGTGCTTATAGTCTGATTTGCATGATTTCAAATCAGAAAGTTAAACAAGTATGTTAATCTAACTTTCATATTGGTCAAAATTGTTTTAGCACAAGTCAAAACAAAAAATGGTCAAAATGATGAACTAGGGGCACAGTTGGGTCAGGTCTTCTCTCTTTTTCCCCGTTGTCAACATACTTGCCAGAGAAGGCACCATACTTGCTGAAAAGGGCACCATATTTTCCAGAAAGGGTACAACTGAAGCTAACAGCAAAGGGCTAAAAGCTCTTACATCCTCCAAGCAGCAAGGTATCAAGCCATGTAAGAAGCACGAACTGGAAATGGGGCTGGATGTTTGGTTCCTTCATCCGGACGATCACGCCCAAATTGGCATCTGTCCTGGTCTGGGGACGTAGAAAATGCAATGTGTGAGACCAATCAATTGTATACCTGACCGGTGAGACGTATTGTAATTCATCTCAATCAAGCCAAGCCAGGGCCATCGCCAACCGATGTCAGTTGCGGATCTACTGCGCATCCTATCGCATCACAACCCCTCTGTGGAAAAGCTCACTAGTTGCGAGCGAAAGAAGGAGAATCTAGTAGAATACTAGGGACACGAGCCCACAACTTCTTGTTTATCCATCAACCACCCAGGGGAGGGATAAAAAAATAAGAGAGATTGAAGAATAGAGAGATGTGCACTGAGAGAAAGAGTGAGAAAAGGGCTTTTTCAGAAAACTAGAGATTAGGTGCTAGAGTGAAGTGAGAATCACAAATGAGAAAGGATGGGAAACAATACCCGGAGAAACAGGCTCCTCGTGAACCGAAAGATCTCTCGCCTTTCTAACACCATTGAGTGTTGTATGTGTGTGACACCTCGATTCTACACTATTGGTTGCAGTCAAGGGAGAGTCACTAATGAGTCCTATGGTCAATAACCATGTAAGATCCCAGATCGCCGGAGGAGTGAAATTAGCCTCCCTTCTAAGTCCAGCTTTCTTAGGCAGTGCACTGCCCTTTTGACAGATCTTAAAAGGTATTGGCACAAGGTCTCATAAGCAATGATAAGGTTCATATATAGAATATAAATACATAACAATCATAAATACACTTAATTCAAAAGCTTGTTCCATTACATTACATCCAAAAGAAAGTTTAAATCTTCACGTGAGTCTTACAAAATATCAAAAGAAATTTCTAGCTTCCCTAAGATAGCCAAAAGTCTTCGAAAGTTTCAGGCTCATCGTCTCCAGCTATGAGTTCCGCTTCGTCACCTGGCATGATACGCCGTGAGCTTTAAATGCCCAGTAAACACACACACACCCCGCCCCCTTTTCCCAGTCCAATACACAATCACAATTTTAACATCAAGTAGTAAACATCATATTCAAAGAGCTAAGTTGGATGTTAGTAAACTAGAAATCCACCAAAGAGATTTCGTCCTCCTGGCCACAGGAATTAGACGCGGATTATTCGGTATCCCCCCTCTTTTGCTGCTTTGTTGCAGAACTAACATCAGATGCCTTCCAACGGTTATATAACGCGTAGCGCCAACTGCAGACCTCAAAAGAGACGGTAAAATAGGGCTTTGCCTAAATCCCTCCTCACACCAAACCACCTAGGGTCCGAATACAACCGCTCCGTTCAAGGGTCTCGAAAACCATTTGCGCAAGACTTTAACTTCCAAATAGGGAACGCATCCCAACAAACCATATATCACGTATTATCATCTTTTCATTACTCAAGTGTTCGAAAACCCAATACCCTCCCTATTAGGTTTCCCGTTGAATTAAATGTTTTAAATCAAGGTTAGTCCAACTTACAAGACAATAATATCCATATAAGCATGTGTTCTTAAGATGAAAAAGGTAAATAACATAACCACAGCACATATAATATCATGCCAAGATATGATCATAAGCTAATAGGCAATCTCATGAACTCAAGGGCATAAAACATCCACACATAACACAATTTCCAGATTTAGTAACGCATAAAGATTAAAATGAAAGGACTATTTTAGATCTTTCACCGGAGTCAGCCTTCCTATGGCTGATCTGGTTTCTAGAACATATTTTGGAAATGGGATAGTCTTTCTGGGTTTTAAGTTATTTAGAAAACATTCCAGCACTGTCCAAATTTGTTGATCGTTACGAAAATTTGATTTTCTTGCAAACCGCTCACGTTTTTTCTATGAAACCAATTTTAGTTGAAAGATAACTCCTTAAGGAAGATTTTGACATAAAATGTAGGTCCAGAATAATTTTATACATTTTTTTATAATTTTTGAAAGTGGGCTGCAAAACCAGATTCTAAGGTAAAATGCCTAAAACAAGAAGATTTATGAGAAAAGGGTTCCACCAAGTGAAAATTTTCGTTTCTTTTATGATGAGAACAAGCTAACTAACATATATTAAACTCAAAAAATTTGCTTGAAAGTGTGCCCGTGGAAAGTTGAAAGATTTGTATGAAGAAAAGATGGTTGTGTGCCGAAATGGGAAAAATACAAGAGAGATAGAATCAATACTCAACTCTTAGCATTTTTAACACAAGTAACTCATCAATAAGAGATCTGAAAACATTATTTAGAACCCTTAGAAATATGTATTTGAAAAAGGAAAATGAAAGAGAAGGTTGTGTTGTGGCTTACTTGCTAAGCTTTGAACAAGAAGGCTCTTTTCTTCCTCCCTCTTCCATTCTAGACTTCTCTCTCTTGCTCTTCTCACTGTCCTCTAGCTGAATGTGTGTGTGAGTGTGTTGTTTGTGCTTGCCAAGCTTGGAAATGTTGGTATTTATAGACAATTTTTTATTTAAAAAGTCCTAAAAGCCCATTAGTTGGAAATGGATGGAAATGTTAGGATTTGTTTAAAGTTTCTAGGAGTAGGAGTGATTTTGGGGGAGGGGGGGCTTACTCATAGGTTTAGGTAACATTTAGTTGAAATGAAACTAGTATTGGAATTATCATCCTAGGTCTAGGGTACTAGGTTTGTGGTTTTCTAGAATTTCATGATGATAAACTTTGAAAATTGGCTGCTCACTTCCTCCTAGAATGCCCGGCCCTAGGGAAGGGTGAAGGGGATATTTTTTTAATCAATTTAGGTTCTAGGGCACACTTTTCAAGGTGTGTATATATATATATATCTCACTTGATTGATGGTACTCATGGTACAAGGGTACAAGTACTAGTTTTTGGGGAAATTTTGAATTTAAATAAAGAGTGAGGGTTTGGTATTAAATTCGTGTAACTTATGTAGAATTAAATTAGGTTAGGGAACCTAATCCGGCTAGGGAAATTCCTGTTTTGATAAAAATAAAAATAGTAATGCTAACCGACAAGATTTGAATTAATTCAAGTAACCGAGGGGCTTAAGAAAATAATTCAAACATTAAGGTCTTTAAAGAGAGTATAAATTTCAAGGGCCTCAAAACCTATCCCCCTTAAAACAATTTCGTCCTCGAAATTCAACTACATATTGCCTCCAAAAAGCTCAGGGTAGTTTGCCTTCACCCAATCATGGCATTCCCAAGTAGATTTCTCTATTCCCCGATGAGGCCATAGCACTTTTACCAAGTGAACCGTCTTGCCTCTAAGGTTCTTCTCTCGAGTATCCTATATTGCTACCGGTCCTTCTTTAAATGTAACATCTTTGTCCAGACTGATCTCTTCCCATTTGAGGATGTGTGACGGGTCAGCGATGTATTTTCTCAACATCGATACATGGAAGACGTTGTGTATTTCTGCTAACTACGGGGGTAGAGCTAGTCTATATGCTACTTCGCCGACTCTTTCCAATACCTCAAAAGGCCCAATATATCATGGTGACAGCTTCCCCTTTCTCCCGAAATGTATAACTCCCCGCCTAGGTTGCACCTTTAGGAACACGTGGCTGCCTACTTCGAACATCAATGGTCTTCTCCTCCTGTCTGCATAATTCTTTTGACGGTCTTGAGCAGTCTTTAACCATTGTCGGATCAATTTGACCTTCTGAGTAGTTTCTAGAACAAGTTCGGGTCCTATCAGATTGGCATCACCCAGTTCCGTCCAACAAATCTGCGATCTACAAGGTCGTCCATATAATGCTTCAAAGGGCACCATACCGATGCTAGCTTGAAAACTGTTGTTGTAGGCGAATTCAATTAGGGGTAGGTGTCGTTCTCAACTTCCTTGAAAATCCATTGCGCAAGCTCTCAACATATCTTCGAGTGTCTGGATAGTGAGTTCAGATTGTCCATCCGTCTGCGGGTGAAAGACGATGCTAAAACATAACTCAGTACCAAGAACTTCCTGCAAGCTCCCCCAAAATCGAGAGGTGAACCGTGGATCACGATCTGACACAATAGATACCAGAATTCCATGTAGTCGAATGATCTCCCCAATGTAGAGCCTGCACATAGACTCTAAAGTGTCGGTCATCTTATAGGGTAAGAAGTGTGCTGACTTGGTGTGGCGATCCACTATTACCCATATAGCATCGCGCCCTCTAGGTGACTTAGGCAACCCTGTCACAAAATCCGTCGTCACATACTCCCACTTCCATTCGGCTATTGGTAAAGGTTGCAACATTCCCCCTGGTTTCTGATGTTCTGCCTTCACTTGTTAGCATGTTAGACATTTTGCCACAAATTTTTCCGCTTCCTTCTTCATTCCATTCCACCAATACTGCCTCTTCAAATCCTGGTACATTTTGGTCCCTCTTGGATGCACCGCAAATGCAGAATGATGACATTCTTTCAGTACCTTTTCTCTAAGTAACTCGTCACTTGGTACAAACAATCTGCATTGGTATCTTAAACTCCCATCGGGGTGAATTGCCCAATCGAGCATGGGTTCTCCCGAGTCCAGACGTCCCTTGATATAGGCTACCTCTCGATCGTGCTTTTGGGCCTCCATGACCTCGTTCATCAACTTAGACATCACCTTCTGCGCACTAAGATATGCTTTTGTATCTTGAGATTCTACTTGGATCCTGAATTCATTGAGTGTCTTAACCATATCCCATTCCTTGACGGAGATCTTAGCCATCATCCCTCTACTCTTGCGACTTAGAGCATCGACTACTACATTGGCTTTACCGGGGTGATATGAGAGAGTGAACTAGAAATCCTCAAGATACTCAATCCATCGTCTCTGTCTCAAGTTAAGGTCCTTCTGTGTAAGTAGATACTTCAAACTCTTGTGATCTGTGAAAATCTCAAATTGTTCCCTATACTGGTAATGTCGCCACTGCTTTAGGGAAAAACTTACAGCTGCTTACTCCAAGTCATGTGTTAGGTAGTTACGCTCATGAGGTTTCAATTGCCTGGATCCATACGCGACTACTCTTCCATTTTGCATGAGCACGCAACCTAACCCTTCTTTAGACGCATCACAATAGACAGTGTACCCTTCTTCTCGTTTTGGAATGGTCAAAATTGGCGCACTAGTTAATCTCTTCTTTAGCTCTTGGAAGCATTTTTCGCAAGCTTCGTCCCATTCATACTTTACTCCTTTCTGCGTCAAACGAATCATTGGTTTAGCTAGTTTGGAGAAATCTTGGATGAACCTCTGGCAATAACCGGCCAATCCTAAGAAGTTGCAGATTTCTGACACGGTTTTTGGTTGTCTCCAATCTAATACCACCTCCACCTTGGTTGGATCCACCGCAATCCTATTCTCTGATACCACATGCCCTAAGAATTTTACTTCATCCAACCAGAACTCACATTTACTCGCCCTGGCATGTAACCGATTATCCCTAAGAACTTGAAGGACAGTCCTTAAATGTTGCTCATGCTCTTCTTCAGACCTTGAATATACCAAGATATCATCAATGAACACTACTACAAACTGGTCAAGGTATGGTCTAAAGATCTTATTCATTAGCCCCATGAATGTTGCCGGTGCATTGGTTAGTCCGAAGGGCATTACTACAAACTCATAGTGGCCATATCTAGTACGAAAGGCAGTTTTTGGTATATCCTCCTCCTTGACTCATAGTTGATGGTAACCTGACCTGAGATCGGTCTTTGAATAGCACCTTGAGCCTCTAAGTTGGTCAAAAAGGTCATCAATCCTTGGGAGTGGATATCGGTTCTTAATTGTGACTCGATTACGTTGACAATAATCGATGCATTGCCTCAACGACCCATCCTTCTTTTTAGCAAACAACATGGGTGCTCCCCATGGCGAAGTACTTGGCCTAATGAATCCTCTCTCGAGCAATTCCTATAGCTGTGTCTTCAATTCTTGTAGTTCTGCTGGTGCCATACGATACGGAGCCATGGATGTTGGGGTAGTTCCAGGTTGTAGCTCGATGCTAAAGTTTACTTCCCGGGTTGGAGGCAATCCTAGTAATTCCGTAGGAAATACATCTGCATATTCGCATACTACGTGCGGAAGTTCTATTTGTCCTTGGCACTCCTTCTTTAGAATCAGACTTGCTTTTCTACCTGCAAGTTGATCGCGCCACTGCGTCTGATGTTTTGTTGAAATCATGGGGTCTTGTCTATCCTCTTTAAACAGGAAGCATGTCCCATTTTGCGTATGAGCTACCACTTTCTTCTGACGACAGTCGATCACCGCTCGATGGGCAGACAACTAGTCTATGCCCAAAATGATATCGAAGTCCGACATTTCCATGACACGACGGTCGCAAGTTAAGCGTAGGTCCGACATCCCTATCTTACAGTCCTTACAGATCTATGCTACTCGAATGCATCCTCCCATAGGTGACATTACACTTAAGGCAGTTGCTAAGGGTTCACATACAAGTTCTAATGACTTAACACAAGCAGAGGATATAAAGGAATGTGATGCACCAGTATCAAATAAAACATACACCCAAGAATTGTATAGTACTAAATTACCCTCAATTACAGACAGGTCCGCTTCTTCCTCTTGCAGGGCAAAGATTCTGCCGGTTGCCTTCTGGTTACCACTGGTCTTGGCGTTCTGAGTTCCTCCACTCTTCTGGTGCTGCTGCCCGGTAGATCCTGTCTTATTCGTCTAAGGCTTCTGATCACCTAATGCCTGGGTATTTGCTCCAGAACCTCCTCCTTGGTATCCAGATGGAGGGAGTTGGGGGCATTCGCTCTTTTTGTGCCCTAATTGTTGGCAATGAAAGCACAGGATTTGTCCCATCGGCCTTTGTTGATAGCCTCCTCTATGGATCTGTTGCTGCGGTTGCTGTCGTTGCTGTTGTGGTTGTGGAGTAGGGCTTTGAGGTCATGCTTCCTTTCTGGTTCCTCTGAGGTCCAATAGACGTCTGACTGCCTTTTCTCTTGTTCCAAGCCTTCCTAGCGTCGTTCACTTTCCTTTCAGATTCTAATGCCGCTTCCAGCACCTCGACATATGAGGGGAGTCGTTGCGAAAGAACTCTTCCCCTGATTGTAAGGTCCAGTCCCCACTCGAACATCCTTGCCTTCTCTTCATCATTTGCCACGTATCTAGTTGCGTAATGGGCTAGCTCTTCAAATTTTGCAGCATACTGGGTCATGGTCATATTTCCTTGTTCGAAGTTTTGGAATTCCTTGACTCGTTCTCGACGGATAGTACTTGGGAAATATTTATTTAGGAATAGTTCCCTGAACTGGTTCCATGATAGGCTCGCTACGTCACGAGTATTCTTGATTAACTCCCACCAATGGTCAGCCTCATCATCAAGCTCGAATATTGCCAAGGCTATTTTATCAGCGGCCTCGGTTACGCCCATGTTGTCTAGCATTTTCTCTATCTGTTGAAGCCAATTTTCAGCTATCTTTGGGTCCGGTACACCTGTGAACTTTGGGGGCCTCTGCTTTCGAAACTCAGAAAAGAGTCGAGTCCTCTCATTCTGCCGATTGTTCCTTAGTTTCTCTAGTTCCTCCAAAATTTGATGACCTAGGTTATTGGGGATGCCAGCCCCTGTGGGGATGGGTCCGTGTTGATTTCTGGGACGGTTTCAAACATTGTTGCTGGTTTTGGTATAGCTATTAGCTTGCGTGTCTACCATTCTATTCATGGCACATAGTGAGTTGGTTTCCAGTCTTAGAAGATCTTACTACTTAGATTTGAAATAAGGGTTCAGTTTCCTTAGGGTGCACTAAAGCAAGTAACAGTCAATAACATAGATCAACCCATCATTCATATATTATAATAGGCATCATTACAAAAGGGCTCCTATATCAGAGTTACATTCAAAGAGCATCTACGCATTACAAAGTTCAGGCTATCTTATTCTAAGGATCCCCATTAGCGGGTCTTACAAAAGTCTAGTTTTACTATCCCTCGAATTAGTTCTCGTTTCCCGACCAATCAAAGTCTTATTCTGGGTCTTCATCAGTGGTGTCAGTGGCTTGGTCTGGAGAGCAGGGGGTGTACATTGGTGAGGGGGGATTGTGTTCAGATGACACTTCTATAGGGTAGGCTGGGTTTGATCCTTGCTATTCTGGTGACTGCTCCATATTCATTGGTTAATTGTTGCCTGGCTACTGATAACAAGATGCGTAACTTTCAGCGGGAGTCGGTGGTCGGTGGTGTGCTCTGGTGGTCAAAGCTTGGTGTATCAATGAGTCCATTGTCTGATCATCTTACTCCATTCGGATCGCCTTCTTTACTGCCCGGCTCAAAAATTGTAGGTGGCGCCGCACCAGGGGCCTCTTCTGCTCCCTCGTATAGCGGGAGTACGCCGTCTCCACCTTACGTATCTCGGTTCTGATCATTTCCTCGGCGGCACTTGTACAGCATCGGCTGCTAAAGCAGGGGCTAACAGACATGGCCCTCCTTCCTTGCATACGGAAAGTACCCCACGAGTCGAGACTGACGCTGCATCCTGGATAGTCTCCCGCTGACATCCTAAGGTGGAAAAGATTTTTATTAGTTAATCTTCTTATAATAGCGTGATAGAATAAAATAAGATAAAAGGGTAAGGGCTTCTAGAGTTGTGCATAGCGTTGCGAGGGTTAAGGGTTGAACCTAGGCTCTGATACCAAGTTGTGACGCCCCGATTCTGCACTATTGGTTGCAGTCAAGGGAGAGTCACTAATGGGTCCTATGGCTAATAACCAAGTAAGATCTCAGATCGCCGGAGGAGTCAAATTAGCCTCCCTTCTATATCCAGCTTTCTTAGGCAGCGCACTGCCCTTTTGACAGATCTTAAAAGGTATTGACACAAGGTCTCATAAGCAACGATAAGGTTCATACATAGAATATAAATACATAACAATCATAAATACACTTAATTCAAAAGCTTGTTCCATTACATTACATCCAAAAGAAAGTTTAAATCTTCACGTGAGTCTTACAAAATATCCAAAGAAATTTCTAGCTTCCCTAAGATAGCCAAAAGTCTTCGAAAGTTTCAGGCTCGTCGTCTCCAGCTATGAGTTCCGCTTCGTCACCTGGCACGATACGCCGTGAGCTTTGAATGCCCAGTAAACACACACACACCCCGCCTCCATTTCCCAGTCCAATACACAATCACAATTTTAACATCAAGTAGTAAACATCATATTCAAGGAGCTAAGTTGGATGTTAGTAAACTAGAAATCTCCCAAAGAGATTTCGTCCTCCCGACCACGAGAATCGGACGCGGATTATTCGGTATGCCCCCTCTTTTGCTGCTTTGTTGCAGAACTAACCTCAGATGCCTACCAATGGTTATATACCGCGCAGCGCCAACCGTAGGGCTTCAAAAGAGACAGTAAAATAGGGCCTTGCCCGAATCCCTCCTCACACCAAACCACCTAGGGTCCGAATACAATCGCTTCGTTCAAGGGTCTCGAAAACCATTTGCGCAAGACTTTAACTTCCAAATAGGGAACGCATCCTAACAAACCATATATCACGTATTCTCATCTTTTCATTACTCAAGTGTTCGAAAACCCAATACCCTCCCTATTAGGTTTCCCGTTGAATTAAATGTTTTAAATCAAGGTTAGTCCAACTTACAAGACAATAATATCCATATAAGCATGCATTCTTAAGATGAAAAAGGTAAATAACATAACCACAACACATATAATATCATGCCAAGATATGATCATAAGCTAATAAGCAATCTCATG